GGGGTGGGGGGGTTTGCCTGGGGAAGTTTATCCTTGAAAGTAAGGGTGCTCAGCTGGGAATGGGGGGTTCTCAACTGGGGGTGTTTATCCTTGAAAGTAAGGGTGCTCAACTGGGGGTGTTTATCCTTGAAGATGGAGGTGCTCAGCAGGGCCCGAGGTCAAGGCGGCACCAGCTGCCTCGCTCCTCGCAGCCCAGGCGCCTCCGGCACGACCTCCCGGGCCTGGTGAACAACACACAGCACCGTCCCGCCCCGCGGCCTGCCGCGTTGGTGCCTGGGGTTTCAGTAGCCGCAACGTTTAACCTGCCTGCCCCGTAGTCGAGGGACAGGACGCACGGCCCTGTTTAGCTGAGGGGGGGCGACCGGGCTTGTCGGCGACTCCGGTCTCCCCCTCGCCGTGCGGTCCTTTTACAAACCAGTTTGCTGCGGGGAGCCTGGCAGGACACTGGCCTCCCACTACCGGTAGTCAGGGACACCGCACACCTGGGAACCAAATCGTGAGCAGCGCTGTGCACACCACCACGTGCTGCTCCCTTTGCCGGGCTGTCCAGGCACTTGTACACACTTGCACTGCAGCGCCGCGTGCTTTTAAAGGCACCTGGCGCTGCGGCGCATGCAGGTGTACGAGCGGCAAATGGCACCGGGGCGCTCTGGAACCGAAACATTTGGGAGGCGTTTTAGTTCAAAAGTGCGCTGCAGCCATTTTGTGTGCGCGGACACACATTTCACTGCTGACACAGCTGCACACGACCCAGCGCAGCGCACGTCAGCTCGTGTGCGGAGCAGACTCGGTTAATCGAGTCTGCTCCGAGCCACCAGATCTCCAGCGTGCTGCGGGACGAAAAGGTGTGCATAAATGCCCTAAGACTACAGGAAGCATAACTCACGTTACAGGTGATGTCTTTTATTAGACCAACTCGATTTTTGCAAAAAAAAAACCAAAAAAACCAAAAACATTATTTTGCAAAAATCGAGTTGGTCTAATAAAAGACATCACCTTTACCACAAGTTCTGATTCCTTTTGCCTCTAGATCAATACGGCTACAACCTGGATAGCTAAGACTGCAGAGCACAGGGCCAGGTAACCAACTGCCTCCCCCCGCCTTTGTGTCGACATTTCATTTTGGGGCCAATCTACTCACGACCCCAGCAGCGAACGACCAGGCTCCAGGGCTCCGACTCTGCAGTAGAGGAAGAGGGAAAGTGTGCTGCTCCCTGGACACGGGTAAAAAGGGAAGTCTGGCACACCTCGCACCCCCAGCAGCAGCAGAGCTCAGCACTGCTGTCTCTAGGTACTTTGTGAGCCAACTCCCTAAGTATCGCTCCCTTTCCTAAAGTCCTTTCACTAAACAGTTGCGAGGCAGGCTGGGCTGTGCACGCCTCCTTTTGCTCCCTTTTTTCATAGGAAAAGCAGCTGCTCTTCAGATGGATCGGTGTGGAGTCCTTACCAGAGTCAGTTGTTCTGATCAAAGATTTAAACGCCAAGATGAAAGACACCACGAGCTGCTGGCGTAACGAGTTAGTCCAAGCCTTTGCAAAGCTCCTCGAGCTGGAGAGGCCTGAAGGATTCTCAGCACTGTTGAGAGCTCTGACCCCCACACAGTCCTTCAGGCTTTGCGCCCGTCAGGTTTCGGATGTCAAGCTATTCCTGTCCTACCGCATTTGTTTACTGCCTGACTCTCTGCGATTTCAGGGCACTGCGCTTTCCTGGTGCCGGACGTGCTAAGTGTGCAGCAGGCATTTCAGGGCATCATGGCATCGGGTGCAGCACCTGGAGGGAGGTACTGTAGTCACGTGTGTAGAGGACACAAGCTGCTGTACATCTAACGTCCCCATCTCATCTACCACTGCAGATCTCATCCATTGTGACTTCAGGCAAGAACAGCGATGCCACTGCAGGAGAAATTAGCATTAACAAAACTCTCTCGCACCTTTGAAAATGTGTCAAGTCACAGTCAGGCCTTTATTCCTTCATCTCCAGGGAGGAACTAGAACCGTCTTAAACATATGGCTAAAACCTATTGCTAAATATCAGCCTGTGCAGTTGCTCGCTAGCTCCTATGCAGCAGTCATTTGCAAGCTATGATTTGCCTTCATCTAACCTCCACCGTCTTCTCCAGCAGCTTGCACTATGGGTAGTTGGTGCTACAATGCAGACAAGCCATTATACAATCCGTATGCCCACCTCCACCCAGGCTGGAGGCAGCCGCGATTGATAAAACCAGCGAATTTCTACAAGGCAGCATTAGGTGAAGGGCACAGGCTTTGCCAACCTGCATCACGTCGGTCATACTCACTGAGGATGCTCAGACATCCGCTACACGGGATGGATTTAACTCATTAACATTCTTTGCCATTGGGAGGGCAGGAAGTAGCAATTACTGATGGCACATCAAACATCAGCATCTCAGTGTGCAACCTGCATATTTATTTAGCAAGCCTCACAGTGCATTTGTGTAGCTAGCTGGGGAAGTCGTAGCTGAGCTGTGAAAGATGCTTTGCATTTCAATACCAGGGAAACAAAACCAAAAAACCACACTTGCCTTATATAGCTTCTGAAGTGGATGAAGCAGGTTCCCGTGTCCTTGTAATACATGCAAAATGCCTGCAGCTCTGAAAGATGAGGTGTGTCAGCTAATGAGGTTCCATGTTCCAGCCAACTTTACGAGGAAGGAGGCTCAGCCGTTCTAGTCTCATTTCCAAGAAACTCAACGGTTTTGCAAGAAGTTGAGATCCAGGGGTCAAAAAAACCAGCGCAGAAAACAGGCAGAGCGGCGCATGCAGGGACAGCACACGCCAACCAAAACCGGAGCCTGGCAGGCTGGAGACATGTTCCAGCTGCCAGCCAGGCTCCAAGCTGCAGGAGTGACACATTTGCAACTTCCCCAGCTGCCAGGTAAGGTTGCTGGGGCCAGCACCTCTGCTGGCTCCAGCTTCCCCTACCCCACCTGGGGTAACCTGTTGTACACCAGGGGGTGCCTGGCATGGGCACTCCCCACACAACTAGCAGTGGCACAAGGGGTCCTGCTGCTAGTTGCCTCCCAGGAACCAAACTTCTACTCATCTGAACATGGCCACTGGGTTTATCTCGAGAATCATGTTTGCACACCTAGCAGTGCTGACATTGCGTGGCACCCCACAGCGCCCCTGAAAGGATCTCCAGGCACCCCAGGGTGCTGCAGCACCCTGGTTAATCGCTGGGTTCCAGGCTGAAGAGACATGTAAGCAAGCTGCTGGAAGTAAATGAATTGTTTAAACAAGACAACACACCGTCTTATTTGTAGATCTGTAGCCATCTCTCTCTCTGCAGACTGTACCTCCTGCTTGTAGCTTGCCCAGCTTACTGAAGCATTTCCTTTTGCTCATAGTACTTCATATCTCCCACCTGCATCTCCCACCCCAGATATTTGAAGAGGCAGGCAGTGTTGAGGTTGCAGGAGCCCATTTCTTACCCTGGGACACTGTTCCCCGACTCCTGTTGGAAGCCTTGTAAGGCCTCCATGTCACCAGACGGTTTGCAGGGCAGACACACAGCCCAGCATCTTAAAATGACAGGGGGCACAAAATAAGCCTCACTTTCCACTTCTCCCCAACTCTGCTCTGCAGCCCATTCCCTCATATGGCCTAGCCCCATTGTTTATTGCATTAAAACACGAGGCCTTTTTTCATGAGCCTGGGTTTGCTCAAAACCAAGCTGGCCTCAGCCTTCACATGTGCTGTTTTATAACAGCTTTAATTTATCTGGGCAAAATATTGTGCCAGATAACTATAGCAAACAGCGATTCCCTCCGTCTTACTGACCGTACTCCCTATGAGGTTTCAGAGGAGGCAAGGATGTTATAGCAAGGCTGTAAAACAAGATGCTGTCTCAGCTATTTGCTTTATTAAAAAATCTGAACAGGAATCAGAAGCCAAATGTAAGGAGCGGACGTAGAACGATTCAGTCTCCAGATGGGGAAATGATGCAGTCTGTTATTCTTTGGGAAAACATGCTCTTAGTGCTGGGACATCTGCTCAGCTCGCTTTCACCCCCTCAGTGTGTTGTCTGGGACAAGCAGCTTTACACTACGTGTAGGCACAGAAGAGTCTCTACTTGGGCTGGGATCTCTAGAACCTACTGCCTCCTTGGAAGAGCTTCTCTTATCACAGCTTAATTTTGCGACATTGATGAGACTAATTCAACGGTAAAGAATAAGGTATTTGATAAAGCCTGTAGAAACACGCTCCATAGAAAACATTAGCGTATAAAAGAGAAAGATACTTTTAATAAATAACATGTATAGCGACTAGAATGGACCCCTCTAAATCACCAGCATAATGGGCCAAAGGATTTCATTCAGCGAGTCCTGTGTCACTCCCATGATTTCTGGCTGAATTAGAGCAGGTATTTTAGAAAGAATCCAATCTGGATTACTCTGTGGTCATTCTAAAGCCAGTTTGTCATTCACCAGGCCCAGGCTCTCCTTGCAGCCACACTACAAGAAGAATGGAG